TCTGTTTCATCTGATACAGAAGGCTTGGTTGATATTTCGTTAAATTTCTCATCAATGAAAGGATTCGAGATGTGCAATCGTCGGACTCTGATAATTCGCTTTGGCATTCGCTTTATTTAACACGGGTGCTTCGTAAACAGGTGCTTTGCTGTCAGCATTGTTGGTATGACGTAATTGCCCGGCTCCAGCTGTTTTATCTGTTATTCCATTTGATTCACGATTTTGATTTTGCCCCTTATAAAATATCTTTACTGAGAATTTCCCCATTTTAACACCATAAGTTGGAATGGGTCTTTGTATTTTCTTAACATAAACTAGACGATTCCCTGTATAACAATTTGTTAATTTTCCTTTAACACGGAGACGTTCATGTTGTATGTAAGTAATTTCACACCCAAAACGCTCGAGTGTCGCAGGAATCACAGAATTGTCAACAGAAAAGGGTAACCCTTTTACTGTTAGTCTAGTTCCTTCAGGTTGTTTTAGGAATGGGTTTTTTTCTTTTAACTGTATAAGTTTTCCACGGAGTGTTATTCCACTGGCCATAAGCCGTATGCGATTTTCTCTACCTTCAATGTAGATTCGGCATAAACCACCTGTGAATTGAGTACAAATCATTGCCTCAGGTTTAATATAGTTGTTGTAGCTATGTAGATTTCTTCTAATGATAAATATTCATCGCTAGACACTGGCCGAGTGCCGGTGACATCATTTAACAAACGAAACACGGGTCTTACGTCATCGTTTTCATGATCGAGTACTTCCATGACGAACTGAAAAGTTCTTACTCACGATTACGATCCTGGTAATAATCACAGTTGCTTCAAAAACAAACAGTTCTCGTCAGTGAGTTTACCGTTCACGATGGGGTGGTTATTTGGTGTCAAGTTGAAATTCAACTGTGAAAAAAAAAACATCCAAAGAGAGACGTGCTTGTGACTAGCACCTTAGTGTAGCCTCGCTTTCTTGATGTGATGGTTTCTTGATTAGTAGTTTAACAAGTTCAGACTTGAATGGTGACGGGAATATACCAGTAGATAGTGAATCATTAATTATTGTTGTTATATATGGTAACATTGCATCCAAGCATTCAATTAACAAGTTAGTTGGTATGATATCAAGATCGCAGGATTTAGCTGGAGATTTGAGAATCACACGTTTCACTAGCTCTTCTGAAATCGGATTAAAATTGTTGAGAGTGTGACCTTGGAAACATTTTCTGCTATGGACAGAAATATCATGATCTTCACAATCCAACCTTTCTCTAATCAGTTTTACTTTGCTGTCGCAGTATTATAGAAAGCGTTCAGGCAAATCAATTGATGGGTAAATAGATGGCAGAGTAGCAATGAACCTATCTACACACTAAGTAACAGAGGCATTTGAGTTGGTAATTTTTGTTATTTAATATGACCAAAAAAATGCTTCGTATGGCCCTGCACACAACCAAGGTACAATGAGCCTATTTTCAAAACAATTAAATATTCCAATGAATTGTTTCCGCCGTGATGAAAGGATCGTTACGTATTATTTTGTTTATACGTAATTATTGAGAATGGTCCGAATTAATTGCTAAACATACAGATGTATGTACGTACCAAGTGGGGGTTCAGATCACTCACATTACCCATCAATTTTATCCTTATCCACAATTACAATTCGTCCTGGATTTGGAATTTTTAATTTAGGCCTGTTAGAGAACGAATATTATTATAAATTGAAAATAACTATTAAGATGTGGATTGATGTTTATACAAAAAAATTAACTGATTTGAGAGTAATTTGGGATTTAATAAAAATCAGAAATTATTAACACCATTGTTAATAATAAATGTAATAGACAGTTCAAAAATACCAAGTACTGTTCGCATACTAGTGATATTGTTGAGTGAGAACCTGTCATCTGATATTCAACAGCGATATAAGAATGAGTATGGTAGTTTGATAATCAAATACATACTGCCATTATAAGGTCAAAGGTCATGATTTCAAAAAAACCAATGAAAAGCCATAGTGAAGTACACGCTACTTATAATTACATATTTATGCAACAGCAACAAATGAAAACTAAAATTTATTACAATATTCTTTTGAGTAAAATCTACAACACACACAGACCACAACTTATTTGTGAGCGATTTAATCTGAATGACAGGTCATGGAAAAGCTAGTGTAGACTACTTAGAAAAGTTTATTCACGAATCCAACTTCACTGTTTCAACTAAAGATGTCAATAAAAAAATTGATATACGTCCTACAATAAATGAACTGTGTCAATTCTAGT